CTGCAGCTCCTATCATTGGTGTTGTCTCCTGACTCTAAGCCTGAGCGTAGTTACCTTTTTTGGTCTGATGAAATATACATTAAATTTTACCATTTTAACCATTTCAAAGTGTACAATTCAGTGGCTTTAAGTATATTCAAAGTATCGTGCAACGATTATAACTATTTCCAACCTTTTCCATCATGCCAAACAGAAACTGCACCCATTAAACACTAACTTCCCATTACCCCTTTCCCCACAGCCCCTGATCGCCACTCCTCTACTTTCTGTCTCTGTGAACGAATTTGCCCACTAAGTCCCCCATATAAGGGGAATCATATGAAATCTGCCCTTTTGTGTCTGGCTTATTTCATTTCACATAATGTTTCAGAGGCAGACATTTGAGATTTTTAAAAAACAGACATTAGTTTTTAAAGTACAGACACTGATTTTATCGCACGTTAAAGGAGGAGTTGCATTTTATGAACAACCCCTCAAAAATAAAGTTGCATTTTGTCAACAAACAGAACAGGTAGTTTGGAATGGAGAATCTTGAGTTCGGAGCTGAAAATGACCCTCCTTTTTTCCATGTCACTATGTGGAGGTTTTGAACGTGCAGTACTTAGACAACCCAGTGTCTTTACACAGGTGTTTTACAGCTAGTGGTTAATGCCCCAGAGGGCTTTCCATATTTTATAGTCAGGATATAAAGACACAGGGATGCTGTGGGGATTAGTTAAATGTGTGTGGCATAGTTTGCTGTATAAACTATTCTCTGGAGCTAGTTTTCACTCCCTACTCTTAACTTCCACAGCTTTTACTGTCAATACCATTCATTTAGCACTTAGCATACACTTGTTAGTTGTCTTTTTATGTGTATATCTTCGAAAGCAGGAGCCAAGTCTCATTCCTCTTTGTTTTTTCAGTCTTGTCCATAATAGCAGCTTAATCAATGTTTGTTGATGTTGGACTCCACCTCCCCCTTCCTTTTAAGTGAAGACGGCAAGGCATAGCTTTAAATTCAAACTCAGTTTAAACAAACTGAAAGGTTTTCAGGGTAAAAACAAAGAAGAAGTCTTGCATAGCAGGAGAGAAGGAACACTTAAGATGCTTAGAGGACCCCGGTAAAGCACAGGTATCACAAAATCTGTTGTTTGCCACAGGCTAAGAAGTGACTCATACATGGCCTGATTCACACTTGAGTTCAGAGCTCTGCTAACTCCACTCTGTCAAAATTTGGATTTGGAGAACGGTGATGCCCATAGCAGGGTTAGAGGAGGAATTGTTAAGGAGTTAAGTGTTTTAGGGGTTTCCAGTAGCTGAGGGGAAGGTATGTCGGAAAAGTCTTCTGAGGACAACTTCAAGGCTGGGGGCAGGCATACTACAAATGTAGCCACTAGGCCTCTGCTACCAGGATTTTAAAATTTTTTCTAGCATCTTCTGTAGTGGCAAAAGATGGGAAATGGCCCAAATCTCCTCTTAATTGAGGAATCAGCAAAAGAATTTTGGCACATCTATGGAATGGAGTACTGAGTTATCATGAAAAAGAACGAGGTAAAGATAGTTATCCTGAGATGGAAAGACATTTAAGATACATTGTTGAGTCAAGAAATGCAAGGTTGGGCCAGCTGGTTAGCTCAGTTGTTTAGAGCCGTGGTGTTATAACACCAAGGTCACAGGTTCAGATACCCGGACAGGCCAGCCGCCAAAAAAAAAAAAAAAAAAAAGG